GAGGAGCAAATATAATTAATCTAGAGAGACGATGCTGCATTTATCTTATCAGGTAGAGATTTGGCTGGTGGTGGCTACTAGAGCACGTGCACATTTTGACTGTTTCTTAGGCTTTCTGCTTGTGACCACTTAGTGTCACCTGGATTCCTTGCTGTGGAAGAAAACCTCAGATATCCCGGGTGGGCAACTTCGTGTCTACTCTGAGCTGCCAGAGTCCTACAGCTGGGTTGTGCTGGGCCTGAGGAACTGAAACCGTCTGCATCGTTCATTCTCATGTAGCTTCATGGAAGCCCTTGAGATCTGCAAATCTGCAGGGACTTCTAGAACAGCTACAAGATTGCAGCTCTTGTCTAGCCCTTTTATGTCTTGTGCTTAATGTTTTGTAAAACATGTAAAAGGCTCTCTACCAGAGCATGCAATCCCCCAAAACCATGCATGTACTTTTGAAGGAGATTTTAATGGATTAAGAAATGTAATGTAACCAGACAGCATGGCTGACAGCAGCACAGCAGATAATACACAGAAAAAGCTATGCCTGAACAACATACAGCTGAGTGCCATTAGTATTGTCTGTATGCCGATAACAGCATCTTCAGAATTAATTTTGCAAAGGCAGTTTTTAAACACTTCCTTTTATGTATGTAGGCTTGGGTGAGTCACGCCTTGTGCTCAGTTAAACTTTCTCCTCGTTGCTTAACATCGGGGCATAATGACGGTGCTGGGCTCTTTATGTAGAGATCCTGAGACCTCCATCCAGAGATCTCAAGTCATTTGATAGGTGGGGTAATCGAGGCATGAGAAGTGAGGTGCTATGCCCAAAGTCACCGAGCAGGCCACAGGCGAGGCTGGAAGAGGCACCCAGTCCTGCCCTCTGTTCACCAGACAACGGAGACTCTGAGTTCAGATAATACTTCTTTTCCCACTTTGTGCTGCCATTGATAAAATGAAAAAAGGGGTTTTAACATAAAAGCTGCACAGTTCCATTGCTAAAACATGTGTAGGTAGCACAGAATCACATAAACGTCTATCTACTTCGCTCATCATCACTGTCCCCAGTAACCAGTAGCCTTCTGGGATAATCTGGTTTAGTTCTCTACTTGTGTAGCTCAGCCTCCGTTGCCGCATCAGAGGAATAATTGGTTCTGATGTTCTCAAGTTTCATTTCATGTTGGTTTCTAGAAAAACATCTGTATTCCCCTGGTTAATTGAAAGAATTTAAACAGATTTTCAATTCATTATGAAGTTGTGTTTTCCTAAGATGGTGCCAAGCTCAATAATCAGAGGCCGCCTTTGCCACGTCAGACTCCTGTACCTGGTATCATGCTGTACTTCCAGAGTTGCACGTCCCTGACCTTTTTACCATTAGTTGCTGGCATGCAAGTGTCAGAAGAGCGAGTTCAGGTGGATGTCCCAGGCTGTACAGCCCATGCTTTTGTGGGAGATGCCGCACATGTACGTTACTGAAACCAAGGCTATTTCTGTTCCACTGTTGAACTGCTAGTACTCAAAACCAGAAACAGCTCAGGGTGTCCAAATCACCCGGCTGGGAAAAGATGGTTGTTTTTACTGGCTTTTCATTGAGGCCTGCCCACTAAGACTTTGGTCTCTTGTTGCACGGTGGTCGTAACCCAGATTGAAGCAGAGGTATGAACACAGCTCCTCCTGCGCAAGGGTCCTTGCGACTAGGGTAAGCTTGCTGGCAAGGCCAGGAACTTGGGCTTCAACAGCTTCAGCGTGGGAAAGGTCTCCCATGCCCTGTCCGAGTACTCCAAATACTTGGGAGCCACAAAGGCAGGCGGGAGCCATATTGTGGTAAGGGAGAGTCCCATCCAGTTATTTCAAGCAGCACCTTGCAGGCATCTTCTTTGAGGAAAAGGGTTCCAACTTTGGAGTCAACAGATGCATCTCTCTTGTAGCCTGGTTTAGAGAGATCAGGTGCTGCTTCCTCCCTCATACCTGCCGTGCTTATCATTTTTTAAGTGGTAGGCAGCTTCCCACTCAGAATATAAAATGAGATCATTTTGTTTAGCTGTTGTGGTACGGCTCTTATCTCCCTTTGTGTGCTGTGTGAGATGTTTAGGTACCAATGTTGGACTTAGCCAAGTCCTGAAAGCTGCATGCTCTCGCATTTGGAGCTCCTCCATCCATCTCTGCATGAAGTGTTTCCACAGAGGTGGACTGATTCCGATCACTCACGGCCCTCTGCATTGGCCGTATCCCTCATCAGGGGTGTTTAGGGAGTCCTGAGATAAGAGATCTTTATGCTGATGTATGCAGGCTAGACACGAAAGGCTGCTCTGGAAGTGAGTTATAGCATTTCAGCATGATTTCTGCATGTGACTCTGTGGGTCCATGAACCGATCAGCAATGCCCCGCATCACTGGTGGGATGACTTCACTGAGGATATTCTGGCTGGAAGCATCGTTTATAGTAGCAGGGAAATAAAAATTAGTCTGGGGGAAAGAAGTCAATTCATCTGCTCAGTTTCTCCCCCTCTCCCCGAATTTTGTCGAACCCATAAGCATGGGCATTGCGTAAGTGGATTGCATGTCACGCCTAATGTGCATAATTATATCTTGCAAACAGTTTATCAATGGATCTATGATTACAGAGTAGCTTGTATATACATAACACTGGTGTTTGATTGTGCTGCAGCTGCCACAGATCAATGGATACACAGGAGTCTTGCTTGTTAGTGTCTCACATGCGCGGAGTCTAGAGAAGAACGCAACGTTGGTGCCATGCAGTCGTTCATCAAATACTGCTACCTAGGGGACAAAGTCAGGGTAGAGGAGGGTTATAGAAAGTGCGGTATATAGTGGACTTGTCACTGCAAAACAGCTCCCTTTCTCAAAAACATCCCATCTGTCTTGATTATCCACGCTCTGTAAACACATTTGATCTTATTTTGGAAAGGGGTCTGTTCTGAGAAATCGCTCCCAAAGCAGCATGCCTCCAAGCTCGACCATTTCTATTTTCTGCAGGTGACTCACCCAGAGGTCCGATGGACAGCCCAAGTTGTTGTGAACCGACAGACCGAGGGTTTGCAGACCATGGCAAGCCTACTAACATTTGAGCAGCCTGAACCACACTAGAAGGGGTTTGCGGAGATATCGCCGAGGCACCTTTTAGGAAGAAGTCGCGTTTGGTTATGCACAAGGAAAAGGGTTCTAGCTGGGTTTGGTGATACAGTGCTAGGAAAAAAAAGCACAAACCCCCCAAAAAGTTAGGCGAGCTGCAGAATTCCCTTGAGTTTGCATCCCGTCTCCAACACGGTAACCTCAGTGTTCCCTCTTGTGTCTCCCAGCTACCACCTGCAAAGCTGCTTCTGATCTATGTTGACTGCTTGGCCGGCGGCCAGCAAGTCTGGCCAACCAGGGTGAATAACTCTGGAAATTCTGCTCTAGCCTTTCTTGCGGCGAAGACGTTGATTTGCGTGCCTCTCCTCTGCCTCGCTAGGAACAACAGAAGCAGCAACTTCTCTGTCTTTAAGACCTGAATTGCCTTATTGAGTGTTGGGGGCTGCGCGGGGTGGAGAGAGGAAGAGCTGGTCCGATTTTATAAGCTTCCCTTGATGAACAAACAGGCTTAAAATAATTGTTTTCTCCCAGTTGTATCTGGTATTATGTAAAGGAATCGGATCCCTTTGCTAAGAAGGTATTTTTCAGAGCAGACGTTCTTTTTTATTTTATTTTTTTGGTGTCAGCTTAGTGTAGAGAAACTGGATAAATCCAGAACAGTACGATACCGTGCCCCTGCTTTCCATCTCACCCTCATCAGACCAACAGAGGTGACAAACAGAGGCAGCGTCTGGTCTGTTACAGACTTTCCGATAATACTGGCTCACTTTATTTAAAACAAAAACTTTGCAGCAGAGAGACGAAAACTCCAGGATGACAAACGTCAAACAGAGAGCTGCCTGGAGGAAAGCAGTCGAGTTTGATGTTGCTTCCAAAGTCTTGAAAAATATATGCCAAGGTCAAAAACCCGAACTTGCTAGGTGATTGTGTCTCCCGTTTCTTATTTTAGGGCTTTACAACCACTTATCTTGCTTTTGACCTTGGTAATTTTTTTTTTTCGGCAAATTGTTGTTTGGAGGCAGGCATAGGCAGTTTGGGGGGAGGGAGAGGTGGGAATGGGGCGATGTACTAGCAAGTAGTGAAAGATTATTGGAGGTTAAGAGAGCAGATTTCTACCTTATGAAGTTGGCAGTTCTCCTGCAGGCCTACCCTCTTGGTATTGATCTTGCTGTAAGATGAATAGTGATATGGATTTTTTTTTTTTTTAAAAAAAGTCTTATTTGAGGACCTTTAAATGTGCCTGACATTCAGAAGAATTTTGCTAAAGGGTTGGTATTAATCTAAATGAATCAAGGTAACATATAACATTTTTATATTTTCAATCTCAGTGTATTTTGTCTTAAGATTCAGTTATTATTGAAGAAAGCTTTTTTAAAACAGTTCTTTTAGTGCTTTTAATTCTGAATTTACATGTGTATCTGCATTACAGTAACATACCAAACATGGGAAGAGACAGCCAAAACAGAGTTACTGCCTAAATCTGCAGCTCACGAATGTATTAAACTTTTCTTAGAATATTTTCTACATTAAAAAAAAGGAGCATTTTTTTTTCTAATGGAATCTGTATACAATTAGTTAAAAGATACAGATACTTCCCTCATATTTTTTTTTTAATTTGATAGTACTTGATCCAAATCATGCCTCCTGGCTAACCTTAGCATTGCCCTCTCCCAATTTGCATGAGTACACGTAAAGATTGTAATACCAAGAGATTAGAAAACCTCATTTCTTTATCGGAAGATCTAATATGCTCTTAATATTTTTATGTTGGCAATAGGTATCGCAATATCCAACTGGGTTTTGGCATGTGCAGCTATCCTTATGATGCTCCAGAGCTGCTAAAAAGCTGGGGGAGTGGTTATAGGAAAAAAAAAAAATAATCAAGGTATGTATGGAAAAAAATGGATTTGGGGACAGGTGATGTATGTCCCGCTGCGCTCCTTGATTGAATTGGCTCCTGTAAAACGCCTGTTTGTCAAGATGAAGAATCAAGAGTTCAGGGTGCAGCCTCGGCGCTGTGGTTTCACCATGAGAGTAAGCGAAGTTTTTAAGTGCTGGGGAACCCAAGTGCCGGGTTTATTTTTTGCTCTAGGCCGACACCCGGCAGCCCC